CTGACATCCCAGCGCATCCCCAGGTTCCACAGAACCCCTGCGTCCCACTCATCTGGGATCGCACGGCTTTCCTGGCACACTGCTCCTCACACAGCGTCCACGCAGCCCACAGCATCCCCGGGGTCCTACAGCATGTCACGGTATTCCTGGCTGCCACAGCATCCCTGGGATCCCAGAGCATCCTACGGTGGTTCTTACCTCCGAGTGTCTTCGCACAGCTGTGACTGCTGCACTAAAGCATCCTGGCAGTAGTGAGGGCTCCGGTCACACTGAGGTACCTGTTGAACAGGTTGTTCAGGAAGAAAACACCACCTCCTGCCCGCTGGTTGGACAGTCGGTGGCAGGACATGGCTCATAGAGATGCAGAACTTGTGAGACACCTGCAAAACAGCAGGAGTTCCCAAAGAGGCACAAATAAACAAACAGGCACTAAGGTCCCTTTCCACCTGAGCCTCCCTGGGGTCATTTGAGCCTGGGAGGGTGTGAAAAGGGTCAGGAGCTGCAGAATTTCAGTTACCCATTCCAGGCAAAAGTTAAGCTGTGAACACATTTACCTCTTTTGTTACAGCTGTGCTATGTCTGAATGTTCATATTAAATTTTAATCACTTAAAGACACATTGCAGCTACGTTAGAGTAGGAGTAACTCAAACAAGAGCCAGATTAAAGTGAGACTCAGTAAAGACTCACAGAAATAAGAGAGCTGGTTATTCCCAACTGGTACTGACCATTGTTTTAAAATTTCAAATACTACATGTGTAAGAAAAATGAACAAATGTGCTGAAGCCAATTATTGTTAATCAGTGCTGTTATAACAGTGATGTAAAAAGCATCCTACTCAAAATAACACCACAGGTTTGGTGTTACAGGACTGAAATGATGGGACTCCATGGGACTGCAAACACAAAGCCAGGGAGTTCCTTGGTTAGTCCTTCCTGAGGAGCATCCAAGCAAGGTCAGAGCCTGCACTCCTGTGAAAACTGTTGGTGTAATCCAGGATGCATCCTGAGCTATTAGTCCAATAAAAGTGATCTGAAAGATTTATAAATAACTAATTTAGAACCAAATTGAATGTTTATATGCAGCTAAAATGCTTTCACTGGGAAGTAACTTTACACTTGTTGTTTTCTATTCTGGATTTCTATGGAGTAAAGGCTTACATGGTACTGCCTGCCTGCAGCACTTGCTGGCTCAGCTGCAGCTCTGTAGTGATAAATAGTGAATTTAACTGGTTTTAATCAAACCTGGATGAAGGTCTCACATATACAGAGCTTCTTTAAGCTTCCTGCCAATTGCCAGGGATAGGAGACAGAGCTGAGCAGTGCCCCTGCTGAAGGAAGATGTACAGTGGGAGCTCACTTTGTATGGACAAGGACAATCTCCAAATGCAAATCCATAATCAAGCAGACTCTACTGCTTTCACTGCACACAGAACTATTTTCTCAGTGAAGAGAAAAATAACCAGAGTAAAACAAGTCTTTGCTTGCACAAGCTGCAGTGGTAACTGTGGTAGCTCACTCATTTTCCTGCCACTGTGTGTTGTCTTTTACCTGTGACCTTTATTCTTCTAGCATTGCTGTTGGCTCTCTTGCACATCCTATAGATGTAGAGTGAGAGAATCTTTATAAACTTACTGGTCTTAAAAATCCTGTAAAATGCTAAGAAAATGAATAACGAGTGGAGATGATCAGATGGCAGAGCTGTTCCATCATCGTCTGCCATGACCCACTGTGGCAAATGCAGCTCTCCTGATTCACGTGGGGTGCCAGAGAGGGAGCAGCTGCTCCCTGGTCAGAGCAAAGCTGATTGCCAAGGATAAACTGCTGACACCTTTAAGGTTTGTGTGGGCTACACCTGGTGTGTCCATGCAGCACAGGTGGCTCACACAGGGCAATCCACCCAAGGGGCAACCGATGTGAGACTTCAAGGGGAAGAGAGAGGTTGGATTCTCACTCCTGTCTTGGTGCTTGGCTTCTCTGCTCACCCCAAAATGCAATTCCCTGAACACACAGTGTGTGCCAGCACTGCTGCAGGGTTGTGGAGAATGTGACTCCAGAGAGCAGTACCAGCTGGCTGAATTCCACCTTCCCACAAGCTCCTTAAAAACAGGAGGTTCAGTTATTTGGTTCAGTTATTGTTTATTATTGCATTGAAAGGATATATTTGATTTACAAACACACAGAGTGATATTTATTACATTTTTACAAAGCTTTAGAACAATACAACTATTTTACATAAATATGATTTTCATTCCTCTAATCACCTATTATTTATAAATCTTTACTTTCTGTATTTTTCCACTGTTTCCCAGTTCTCTGTAATTCCTCAGACTAAATGACAGTAGCTGTAGCTGTGGCTTCATCGGAAAAGTTGTTTAGTCACACTTTTCTTCACTGGAGTACTGGACTTGTTACAGCACTGTTGTCCTCTTCTTCCACCTTCTCACCCTCCTGAATTCTCATTTTCAGAAAATGCTTCCCAGCATGAAACATTCCTTAATGAAGGCCCATTAAAACTATTCCTGCACCCATTTGTGGTGACCTCCTTTGCTCTAACACTGTGTTGCTCTTGGAGAACATTTCCAGATACATCCTATGTTTTCACTTTTTTTAGTTGTTTTTTGCTTGGTTTTGTTTTTTTCTTTCTTAATGAGGTCAGAGAGGTGTCATCACAGTAATATGAATAACAAAGTCCAGAGTGCTGAGGAATGTACCATGGCCAAATAATTAATACTCAGAAACAAAATGAAGGTTTCTGGAACAGGTGAGTGGTTATTTGGTTTTAGAAGAAAGAAAGAATGACAAAACTTAACAAAATGCCAAAAACAAACACCATTTTAAGGAATGTGCGATCTTCTTGGCAGGTTGGTCTTGTTTTTAGGTAATGATCCACAGAGTCAGCGAATGAGAATTTCTTTGGTTTGTAACCGAGCTGATTTCGTGCCTTGTCAATGCGGAAGGTGTGAGTTACAGTGACACTCCACACCTAAAAGCCAGAAGGACACTTATGGCAGTGACTTTGGTATCCAGTTTTCTAGAACTTGGATGAAAATATATCAACAATGATATTACAATGGAAACAGAACAGAAAACAGAGCTGCAATGCAGGCAATCCAAAGGGTGTATCATGTCCTTAATGAGAATTTGAGTCAGAAATATATAAACATTATATTTTTTTAATTATTTACCTCATTCCTTGTCAAGAAAGGTGTAAAGCTAAAAACTGGCTTTAGTATCAGGTGCAAATATTCCATCACAGCGGCTGTGAAACAGAAATTACTTAATGAGACATCTGGTTAACAATAAACTGAGACAATGCTGATATTATACATCCTGTAATTCCTACTGCCAGAAGGCACTGTTTAATTTATAAAGTACATTATGAGTTTATGAATAACCTTTAAACTTTATCTGCTATAAATAATACCACATGGCACAAGTGATTATTCTCAATTAAAATAATGTTAGTTTAAATAATTCCTGCAATTTGGGCCCCTGCATTTTATAAAACCACTATGTAGCTTCATAGGAATAAAAAAAATCAAACGACCCACAATAATTAAGAACATATTTTATTTTTTACCTGCTACATGAACCAGGAGAACAGGAATATGTATCCAAGGTTTCCTGTAGCCTAATTTTTCAAACTAAAAAGGGTATAAAAACAAAGAATTACAGAGAACTTATACCAAATTGAGGGTGTCAATGAGGCATGAAAAAAAAGAATGTTGACAAAACTTGTATGTAAACTTTTTTTTTCCAGTTAGTGTTCCTGTCAATACAGATAGTAGGAAATGTAATTGAAGGCCACTACTCATTCTTTGGTGCCCACCTTCCACCCTTCATCTGCAGTTGGACAGTAAAGGGAAGGAAAATTTCAATTTCCAAGGGGGAAGTGAGCCAGACTGGAATACTGAACTACAGTTAAATTCAGGCCCAGTTTTCTGCTGCAGTCATTTTCTGCGCTGGCATTGCAGGATCAAAACTTTGGCATGTTCCTAGAATCCCAGCCCAATAGCTCTGAAAATACAGTCTTAGCTTCTAAGCTAATGTCTTAGCTTCTAAGATGAGATTCTGAATGGGCTTCCCCTCTGTGCTGCAGCTGATGCCAGGCCAAGGGGACAAGCAATGGCTGTGGGAGTCCAGATGCCAGTGGCAGAGCTTGGGTTTGCTTCATGAAATGCTCTGTCCTGCAGCAGCTTCTGGACTGCCCAGTTAAATCCTCTCAAAGCAATAAGGCCAAACTCCACAGTTACAGGTATCCCAAACTTCCCCTAACACCAGTGGAACTTTGGGATATGCAGAGAAAACAGGACTGAGTTTAATGTTAAGTAATTCAGTAATTTCTGTGCACTGAATTCATTTAGTTGGTCTGGTGTGTCAGTCAGTGACAGGACTTGTGCCCACGTGGGAGCTGCAGGGCTGTGCAGTACCTACCAAAGGCACAATCCACTCAGAGAAGATGACATTTTCACCATCATGGATGTAGTAAGCCTGGCCACTCTGGTAAAGAAGCAGAGAAAAACAGTGACAAAGCTGTGCACAGGATGGCATTTTCTGTCTGTCTCATACCTACCTACCTGTCCTGGTTTTGTGAGCAACACACCAGCATGCACAAGGTGAATGTACCCAGAGGCAGCTGAGGTAACCCCCAGTGGTGGCAGGGCTGATGGTGATTAACCATGCTCTAGTGTACATCAGAGCTCAATTTCCCCATGTAGCTGGAGCAGTATGTTCTTCATGGTGTGCTAGGCACAGAATGACCTTTGTGATTCCCACAGAAGGGGCAGCACTGATGGCATTTAGCAAGCACAGCTCTGAGGTTGAGTTCCAGCTCTGATGGATGAGGAATCTGCCCAGCTCTGAGAACCAGGAACACCTGAGCACCCAGGCAAGCCTGGACTCTGGGAATGGCATCAATCTAAAACAGCTGAGGGGCTTCCAAGTGCTGAACTAACTGAGAGCACATGGAGAGGTGTTCACCTGTGTCAGTGCCTGTTGTCTGTATGTTCCTACCAATGGAAATGCACCTGGGACCTTCAGGAACTGGGAATGAAGCAGCTGCTGCAATGATGTCAGTTCTGTAACGCTTCATGGTCCTCAGACTGGTGTTGCAATTGTGACCAGTAGAACAAAAAGAAAAACCTTTAAAAATTGTCCATTAATTTTGTACATTTGTTCTTGGAATTTTCAGCTCTGAAAGTTCAACTGGAATGCCTCAGAATGGTTGCTCAAAATTTTATGCATATAGGTCAGAACCTATTTTCAAGATAATAACAGGATATAGAGATTTATCTAATGGTGAATGAATGGTATATTAAGCCAGTTACAAATGCAGTTTCCTCCAGTAACCCAGGAAATTATATCTTTTCAAACCAAACAAAAACCTCATCAAAATATGAGTGAAATGTATATGCATTTGCACTGTCTGTGTGCTTGTGGAGCCACACACCATTTCAGAAAATTTAGCATATGACTTTTTGGACACTCTTTGATCTCAAAACATCAAAAATTAAACCTGTTAGAACTCAAGCTAGTGGTGATTATATTGTTTACTTACAGCCACATAGCCCTTCTCAGAGGTGAGAGCCTCAGCAGCCAGTAAATGAGCTTGCACTAGATTTCCAATGTGAACCCAGTTCATCTGAACCTTGTGATTCCCAAACTTGAAGTTGAAAAGTCTCCGCTGGATGTTTATCTGTAGAAACAGAAAACATGAGATAATTGCATTATTCCTTTATTATTCAGTATAATCTGATTTTGTCTCAACTCAAATACTTGGAATTTGCTGTATTTGTGTACAATTACAGCACAAGAAACCTGTCACAAGAAAAATCCAACCAGTGGGTGGTTCTGGAAACCAAAGACGGTTGCACTGATAGGCAGTGGAAAAATATAGTGATATTATGTTTTTTGGCAGAAACTAAAGTGCATATTTAAAAGACAATTTCCATTAAATGACAGGGACGCACACCTAGTTCTTTTACCAAGACATTTCAGCCTTCCACTTTTCACTGAGAAGCCCAGCTTGGTCCTGGCACACAGTTTCCCCATCACCTCTCCCCAAGCTTTCACCATATTCCTGCAGGAATGTTTAGGAACTGCAATCAAGGTACTACCACTTGTGTGATGCCCCTACAACTACTTGTGGTGTCCTCCAGAGCTGACTACAAAACACGTACGGCCACTCGAGGCAGGTGCCGCGGCTCTTCCGGTCCGTAGATGCCCGGCGGGCGCAGCACACACGTGTGGAGCTTGTCCCCTCCTTGGAGAGAGAGCAACAGGTGACTGTCAGACAGCTGGGGGAGCAGCAAAGGGCTCACACATATTGGCTGAATTTCACACTGGCAAAGTTAAGGCTCATTTTGACCATTCTGAGTGGTTCGGCTTCCCTGGAACTTGATTTCGTTTCTGTGCGAAATTGAATTCAGTAGCTGTGGCAGACCTGGAAAACCTTCTTGGGATTCCATGGAGAACCCATTGGACAGTACTTAGAAATTGGTATTATCAGAACAGCTAATTATCCACTGAAGAGAGGAACAGAAACAAATAAATCCTTATTTCAGTAACAGTATATTATTGATAAGTGAGCAACCAAAGAAAGGAATGCCCATTAGCACTCCTAATGACTGAAAAGCCCCAAATGCTTTATAGGTACCTTTGAGTAAAGTTCCATTAGCAGCAAGAACCATTTGGTCTGCAATTGCCTTGGTTCTGGAATAATGATTAACTTGCTATAAGGAAGCAGAATAAGATAATTATTGAATGTGTAAAGGCAAACATTGTTTATGACTGACAACATTTCAATCTAGCCAGCTCACAGATATCAGCTGGGCAAAACAAAACTAGGAATAGTAAGATTAGTAAGAAATAGCGAGAATTAGTAAATATATCGTTTGTTTATGACAAAAAAAAAAAAAGACACTTTAGTGGCACAAGTTTAGCTTCAGAGTGAATTTAAGTCCATTTGTATTTACTTAACTCACTTTTTGTGCTGAATGTACTGAGAACATCCCCAGTGAAACAGCTTCTGCTCTCAGAACAGCCTTTACACAATCTACCCTTTGGAGCAGAGTAAATGCCACACCATCCCATGGACAAAGTACCTTTTCCAGTGGAAAATATGGAACAGTTTCTTCATCTCCTTCTTCAATAGGCTTCCCTCCAAACACCACATTGACTGTACTGGTATATATCAGTCTGGGGATATTTCTTTGTTTGCAGACTACAGTGATACACAAATTATTTTAAAACAAAAATAAAGAGGGAGAAATAGCTGGACTGGCAGATTTAATTTTTGAAAACAAACATTACAATTATAGAAAAAAGGTAATACTTTAATTTTAATGTTACCTTATCATTCAATATAATATTATCTTCCATTCAGCTGTATTTTCATTGAATATGTGAATATTAAACATTGTGGTCACCAAATGTTTCATGGTGAATTATCACATCACTGGATTGTAGTCACTGGGTAGAGGAATTATCTTGGTGGGAGGAAAATTCTTCCTTGAGACACCTTTCTTAAAATATGTTCATTTTCCAAACTGAATGCAAAGGAGATGAGTAAGAGCATTTGTTGTGGCGCAGCCCTCGGGGCAGGGCTGTGGGGAGCAGCCACTGGGTCACCCCTGCTCCATGAGCTGCCTCTTGCACCCCCCTTTGATGGAGCCTGGAGTCACCAGGAGCACAGCCAGCTCTGCCCACGTGCCACAAAACTGCCTTTGTCCCAGTCTGTCCAGCAGTGACAAATGGTGTGTTAACAGGAAAAAACACTCTGCCAGTGTATAATCAGTTGTGCTTGAAGTACAAAGGAAATTAATGTTATTTGCACAACAAAGACTTAATTATGGATTCCAGTCCTATGCAGCCAAGACATTGTAGCTAAATTCTGCAGCATATCTGTCATTGCAAATTTGAATAATGTAAATTTCCTTTTCATTTAACAAAATTCCTAAAGTTGAAGAGAATTAAAATGCAAACTCAGGAATTTTTAGAATCTACAGAGCAGTCTGTCCTGCTGGTTCATTGGATCATTTTGAAAATAAGAAATGTTAATTGTTGTAAATATTTGGGAAAAATGACAATAATAAGAGGTATTATGAAAATGTAGATGAGCAGGTTCATGCTCCTCCCAGCGTCTTGGTTTGCTGGGAGCCCATGGGAATTTGACACGACGTGTTTCTGTGGATTTGGAGCTTGGGGAAGGAAGAAGGCAATATGTGGCAACTCTTCCTTCTAACTCATTCAGAGTTTTACTTGCCTACTATTCAATTTCTGCATTTTTCCAGTAATAACACACAGGCAGCATGAAAATGAGTCTAAATAAAAACTGATTTTGCCATTTTGCAGCCTTTTTTCCCCCCCACTTAGGTTTTGAGGGAAAAACAAAGAGAATGTAGCTTTGGTATTTACAGTACACTTGGAAAATGTTCTTCTGGAATAGAATATACTGAAAGAGATCTACTGACATCTTCCAGAAAGAGTAGTTAAGAATCTGTGTGTAGTAAAAAGGGATCACAGTAAGCAGAAAGAATGGAAGGTTTTCTGTATTAATGTGATAAAATAATAGCTAAATATACTCACACATCTGTGGTGCCTGTTACCAAATGTTTGTGACACTACAAACAGTGCAACAGCTCTCATGTTATTTCTATGAGGAAAGAGGATTAATCTATGTAATGGAGAAGTGTTAAGGCAAAAAATCCCCAGTACATGGAGGAGAGCTTTAGTTGGACTGCCAAGGAACGAAGTCCAGGTTGAAAATCTATCCCAGTTCAAACCAGTGGCAAATCTACCAGCTTTAATGGGACCTGCACACTCAGGTTTACATCACACTCTGACAGGAGGGAAAGAGCCTCATTTTACTGCCAGATCTCCACAGGAAACATCCAGTTAGAAAGTTTTTTAATTCATTATTTGGATCAGATGCAGAAAAAGAAAATCTAGGTACCTACCATCAATTATTACTTTTGTGCCTCCAACGTTTATGGATTCAATCTGATCTTTGTTTTGAAGCTAGAAATAGAATTTGCACAAGATTGAATTAATCAAACAAGTGACATTTACAATATGATGGTTACACCTGCCAGATCTAGAATAGCTGAGGTCTTTTTGTGATACATGTTACAGTTCTGTCTGACACACTGTGATTTCTGACAGTCCTCATTTTTATTGTCTTGTTCAGTGTATGAGCAAAGAAAGTTGAAAAATGTAAGATAAAGTGCATCTAAAAGGAAATAATAATAATGCTTCAATATTTTGTCACACCCCAGACAATCCATGATATAGAAACAAGAATTATGGCCAGGGGTCATGCTCCCTGAAAGCTTTCACAAGTTCTTGTTCCATGGCAATCTGTCCTGTTCCTAGAAATAAATTAGGAGGTTCATGATTTTTTTGGTAACACCTTCTGTGACTATCTCTGTAATTCAGCAGAACATATTGATTGTGGTCTGTTTCCTCATGACTGAGTTCACAGGAAGAAAATGCATCAGTTTTAGTTTTAGAGCAATGCTGTCACTCTTCTTCAGATCAGAGAAAAAGGCTACACCTTCTTATCTGAGATCTTTAAATTCTGATCTCTTTTTTCTAGAATATTTTGCAGTACATTACTTTCACACTTTGACTTTATTATTTAAGGAATACCTCCTTATTTCCTGTATGGATGACTTGGCCTTTATAACAACTTCTGTCTCATATAAATATTGTAAAATGACATTCATTGTTATGTGCAGGCAAGTTTTTTTCTTTCTCAAAAATAACCAAAGAAAACTGTAGGAAAATGGTACTTGCTTGTTCCAATCCTGACATTCCACATGCAGCTGCATGGAAAACACAGTCAACCCCTTCACAAGCTTTGAACACTGCTTCATAATCCCTCACATCACCCTGTGAAAGAGAAAAGAATGGATTTTTGACAGGTAGAGCTCCTTACATTCTCTATAGAACTTTATTAACTATGGCTAGTGTGGAAAATCTAAAGGTATTCTGGTCTGTTTTTCACAGACAATTAAACAAAATATTATGAACAGACAGAAAAAGCAATGACTAAGAATTTTGCCAGTATTTTGTTGCAAAACAAAGATGACTCTTGTTGGCTTCAATTATAATGCGTATTTTCACACTTAGTCCTGCAGCCTCCAGGCTGGCAAAACTTGTTTGACTTGAATGGGAGCAGCCAGTGCTGGAGGGCTGGAGAATCCAGCCCCAGGGACAGTAAATCACAGCAGGAAGGGCTCAGCTCTTTGCCTTGGAATCACCAAATATTTCCAAATATCAGGTATTATATTATTTCCTGCAATGAAATTGATAGAATAACATAGCATAATTGATAGAATAATATTAAGAGCTAATCTAACCAGTCTTTTAACTCTCAACTTTTTTCTCCTAAGGTTGCCAAAGTATTTCACAAATGCAGCTGACTTACCCCTCCAACCCCCAGTGCAGTGCTACAGGAGCTAAAAAGTATAAACAATATTAGCCATCCCCAAATCACTGCTCAAGGCTCAAACCTCTGAAGTCACCTATTAATTCATTTACTGGGACTCCACAGTTCCATTTTCCAGGTTGCTCTCCTACTCTTTGTAATATTTATTTCTTCTAAATTGATTTATAAAAAAACTCTGTTCTAGAAGATCATTTGTGAGATCTCAAGTCCCCTTTAGAAGATTAAATTGCCATCAGTCCACAAACTTAAATCAAATTATGTGGACTTCTAGCATTAACAAATCAAGCTTATGGTGTTTGAATGGTTCTTCAATAATACTTTATCCCTCTTCCATATTCTGTAAAAATTGTTTATGAAATTGAACATAAAACCATCCTGGGTTGGACAAGATCTGGGTTTAGCCAGAATTTGTGTGACATGACAGGAGCACCCAGAGCGTGCTCCCAGAGCCCAAACCTGAGCACCTGGAGCAGCTGTGAGAGGTATTGGCAATGCATCCTCCACACACAGCAGTGAGCTGTCAAGTGCTGGAGAGCTCTTGTGTTCCCCCTTTTTTCAGACACAGTAATTCCTTGAATTGTTCAAAATCAAAAAGAATCAGTGCTCATAAATGGGTGCTGCAGGAAGAGCGTGAACAGGGCAAGCGAATGTGGGGCTTTCCCCTGAGTGCTTTTCTACTCTTGAAGCGTTTTCATTCAGAAAATTTCTTGAGCCTAATTTAATTTATCTGTTCAGCAGTTTCCAATGGAGGTAAATTTTTATTGAGGCTTTGCACATGCCTTTTACTCACTGCAGGAAAAGCCACATCATTTTGTTTGTACTGAACTGACTCCTCATTCCTGATGCCCTTCCTTCTTGGACTGGGACATTGGACGATGCCACTCACAGGCTGTAGAGCTCTCCCACTCCTGAGTCACCTCTTTCCCAGCCTGGAAATCCCAGAAATTCCACTTTCCTCAATCATTCTCTGCCTGGCAGTGTTTGGCATTTGTGATCACTGTTATTGCCCTCTCTTGGCTCTCACCTTTTCCCTTGAAATAATTCCCCTGAGTAGGAACCTTTGTCCCTTCATTGCCCAGTTTCCATGGTGCTGAACGGCACCACCAAGCAGAGCAGCACTGGTGACACTGGAGACACTGGGACCCTGTTTGCCATCCCTTAATCAGGTACTTATGCATGCAAAGACCTTTTAACACAGCTTCTTCTTGTCCTGAAAGGCTTTTCCATCAATGTTTTAATCAAAGGTCCTTAAGAGGAAGCCTTGCTAATGAGCATTAGACATGGAACTCCAACACACCTTGAAAAAATCCGCTCCGCGTGGAATTTCCCATTTGGGTTTGCGAAGATCAAAGAGCACAACAGCAATTCCTGAGCTGACCAGGGCACATCCCAGATTGTACCCCAGGTAGCCTCCACCTCCTGTCACCATTGTCCTGCTGCTCCTGGGAGCCAGCAGCCCTGCAGGCTCTGTCCCCTGGCTCTCGCAGGGCGGGCTGCTGGGGAGCTCTTCCCTGGATCCCTCTGGCATCCCGGCTGCAACAGAGGAGATCTCTTGAAAATTCCTGCATAATGCTTTGAGGTCTGGGTAATTTCAATGACTTTCACATTACGATGCTCCCATACTAGTTTTATTATCTTAGCATGTTTAAAATTTATAAATTCATCATTTCGGTGATGGGTTTTCTATGTATAATGTTTAATGAGTCTGAATACTTTCATATTCCAAGACTGAGTCTTTTCCTCATATCCCTAAATTTCATATTATATAGAAATGAAATTACAGGATTTTAGAGCCATTATAATTACCTAACCTTAGCAGCTATGATGGCATTTTTTAATACTTGGTTTAATCAAACATTTTATCCTTGAAAGCTCATTAACTTCTGATATATTAACACCAAACTGATGTTATCCTACAAGTCAGGAAAATAAACCAAGACTTTAGATGAGGAATATGAGAAAGTATTCATTCTGGTTTTAAAATCAACTTTATTTCACATTTGGGTCTGTTTGTTTGTTACCATTTTAAGCTTTTCTGGTTATACATTAAATATATTTCATTTTCTGTCCAGTTCTCACTAACTTTTCACCCTATTGTTCTCAGTAGGGCATTCATAGACAGCTAAACCAACAAGGGGCAGAAGAGATAAGCCATCTGCCCTGTGGGTTCATCTAGCTGGGAAAACTGATTAGAATATCATTCTAGGATAACAACTCCATGGTAGTTACCCATCTGTACACCTTGTTCTGTGTTGCAAATTAGTTTTTTCAACACTTGTCCACAACATTTCATTTTCCCACACAGAAAGTCCCTGTTGTCCTGATTCCATGCTTTTGGCCTTTGCACCAAGGCTCTTACACCCCAAACAAAACTCCAGAAGAAATCTGCAATCATTCATGTCACCATGAAGTGGGAGCCCAGCTGGGTGCCTGCAGCCTACTACAGGAGTATGGACCCAATCTCTGCAGATTATTTTGGTTTCCTCACACGAGAGGAGCCTCCCAGGTCAGCACAGTTTGCTCTCAGCCATTCACAGCAGGCTTCAGCGGAGCCCAGGCACAAACGGGGCAGGGCTGGGAGCTGGCAGCTCTGTCACCTCCAGGTGACAAATAATTCTAGAAAAGTAACACAAAATGCAGCCACAGCACACAAAATTATGGACTACTTAACCATTGCTTACTTAGTATTTCATAATTTTGTTTGTGGTATTCTCCTTATTTTATATGTTGGGTTTTAGATTTCAGACACAGGACAGGACCATATTCTCTGTGCTGTTCCATGGTTCTAACACCAATGTCAGCTCACTCAATTCAGTAAACTGAGTAGCATAACAGTGTAAAACACAAGCTCCTTATGTTGAAAAACATCCTGACATTTCAAAAATTAAAAATAATCCATGTTTCCAAACAAAATTTAAATTACAACTAATGTAATAGAACTAAAACAAGTATGCTGTCCTGTTCAAGCAAGGAAACAAATTTGTATCTCTAGAGTGCGCTCTGCAGGAGTCTTAAGCCACATAAAATTCTTTTGCCTTCTCTTCTGAGAAAAAGCATCTTTTTATACACTGTAAGGAGAAGTAAAGTCAAGCTTATCACATATATTACAAAAAGACATTTGAGAAATGGTATATATTTGAATATTTGTCATTAATATCTTCTTAAGGTTTTAATGAGGTTAAATAATGCATAAAAATGTTTAAAGTTTTCTAGAAATCTCTTCCTTAAAAAGCACTAATAGCATTATTATATTAATCTGCTTCATGGATTTAGAAAATTGTTTTCAAATTTTGAACAAGCAATTTTCTTTTTGAAAATGCTTCTTTTCAGAATCAGTATCTTTCTTTTTTCTCTGAATTTATAGGAGCTATTCTCATTTATGAATGTATTCTGTATGATGAGCACAGTCACATCTCACGCAGCACATGCACTGTGAGTTGCTCTTAGCTCCCCGCTGTCATTTCAAATATCAGAAATGTTCTAATTACTTCCCATAAGAAGTTAAAGTCAGACACATCAGGTTTTTAAGAAAAGCTGAAGAAGCAGTCAGTACCCTTGGTAGAATCCTGCTGTCAGTGTCTCCAGGCTTGCTGTGCAGGAGGAGGGTGAGGTGTCTGTGCTGGACAATTCGTGACTCAAGGGCATCAGGTGCTCTGGGCAGGCAGAGCGCTTCACGCCTGCTCAGGCCTTTTGCTCTTCCTGCTCCTCTGGAGCTGCTGCGTGGCCGGGAGCCAGAAAAGGGCAGGGCTCCATTGGTACATCATGTACGTTCCTTTTCAGGAAAAAAAATTTAAAATTCTCCACATCAGACCCTTCTTAACAGGATGGTAGCTCTCACTTACCTGGTAAAAGACACTGCACAACGCAAAGAAACCATTGGTAGCATCATTCTGTAGATAAACTACTGGAGAAGGAACAAAAATCCTGTTTGGCAGCGCTACTCTGCACTTTCATCCTGACTTTTATATCCCCATTCCCAACCCAATTTCGTATTTGCAGACAGGCTTAACTGTGGGCACATGGGTTGTTCTCTGACTTCCAGGATGAATGTGAAGGTAATAAACGACCTTGTACATAACAGAACAGGAAAAGGTGATGTAGTGTAAAATAATTCATTTTAAATGAATGATGAATTAATGAAATTATTAATAATTATATATGTGCTCTGTCCTAAGATTTTAAAGCACTTTTAAAACATTTGCTTTTGTGAATTAAACAATGAGAAATCAAAGCAAACATTTTAAAATGGGTGTGTCTAAAATTACGTCTCAAAACAGTAGTTAAGATGCTAAAGAAACACTCCCACATCTAAATATAAATTACTACAATTTTCAGTGTTTGCATGTTAGAAATATCTCAAGTTCATAGGTAACCAGTTGCAATTTAAATGTAATTTAATGTTCATGTGCTGACAAGAACTCAAAATGACACCTAGGCAAATGTATTTTCACATAATGGGTATGTTCTGAAGTCCCTGTCGTTGGCATTTGAACCAGAATATGGAACCTGTCAAATTAATCTGCACTTCTTGGATTGCTGAGTGAGTGACAAGCTCAGCTCACAGGAAAATCCCCAAGAACACCAAACTGTCTGTTCTGAGCTGTCCACAGCCCTGACAGCTTTTACCATTTAATCAATAAATAAAGTGTCCATTCTATCCCTGAACTATTCCAGAACTCCTTCACAAGTCAAAGCAGCTTGTCAGCTTATCCAAGGATATCAATCCCTCACTCTTCAGTGAAATTTAACAAAGAGCATTTTAACTTGGCCTTGGTTTCCACCTTGGCAAGAAGGGGACACCTCAGAGGAGTTTTCAGATCTGGTATTTTGTACCTGTCCTGTTATGTTTATTTTCTTACCTTTAGCAAAGAAGGATGGTCATATTTTATTCAATGCATCCTGCTAAGTATTGCTGAAAGAAACAGAAGCTAAAGTTACAAGGAGAAAAGCTGCTGCACCAAGATTGGAGCTTGCTTTTGGTCTTGAATCACAACTCTATACTGCCTTTTTCTACTTTTTCTCCTGTGACCATTCATAGTTCATGTAGGCACATAGAAACAAACAAAACATCCAGTACTTATAGCAGATGATTGTAAAATACAACAGGAAGGCGCCAGGGAGTTTGTCTGTTTATTTACATGGAGGAGATCCACATTTCTGAAATATTGTTTGGCTTATCAAAATGTTACTCACATCCAGACTGTAAAGTGATGTTGAAATGTAATTGCAGTGTTTTATAGAGGAGCCCAGAGTGCTTACACAAGTGCATTTCAAATCACATGCTGCCAGAGCCAAGCCTGAATTGAGTAAGGAGCATTTGGCATAGGGCAGACAAGACAACATCTGTCCCCAGCAGGCAGAGCTGCTCCCTGTGCTGGCTCTGAGCACTGCTGGGTGCTGCACCCCAGGGGGGCTCAAACCACAGAAGGCAGAAGTGTGAGACCAGGTCCTGTGAATTCACAGCTCTGCACTCCCAGCCCACACAACAGGAGCCGTGGGGTAACCTGGAGAATGGTTTTCAGGTGTGGAGCATCCTGTGCAGAAAGGAGCCTTTGACAGAGTGAGCAGAGCATGAGGAGCTCAGCAGAGGTGTGAGTGAAGATGACAGTGGATATTTGCTGTGAGTCTCAGGCAGGATGGGATGTTCTGGAGTGCCCAAAGGTAGAGGAACAGCAGAAAATCAGAAGAGACGAAGCTCTCTCTTAAACCTACTCAAGGACAGGGTTTTGCTGAAATACCTGCCATACTAAAGATATCCTCTCTTCAGCTGACTTACTAAAAATTTCTGCATCTAAGCCCTAAATGAGTAGAATTGTCCTGGCTTGCTGTGTTTGAGCTCCTGCTGGTGCACTTGCTCACATGCAGATGCCCATCAGAGGCAGTGCCTCAGCTGTGAGCTCCGAGTGCTGAGTCCCTCTGCAGCCCCAGAGGTCTGGGCAGAGCTGTCCAGGGTGTGAGTGCTTCTGACTAAGGGAACTTATCTCTCTGTGACTACAAAAACAACCACCCTCATAACAAGGATGTCTGGAACAGCAGAGAGCTGAGAGAAGGGAAGTGACAACAGTAAGATATTCACTCTTTATGTGAGAGAGGACAGAAAATTTTGAAAAGCATTTAAATCAGGTCTTGCAATGGTAATTGTTAATGGAAGAGTAAAAGAATAGAACTCTCCTCTAATTATGTCTAGCTGTGCTTAGAATTTTTAGTCATAAAGGTTAATCATGGGATATGAATTTGGGAAACAGAATATTTTTCATATAACCAATTGCTACACATTGGTACATATCAAACCTTTCTAAGGCATGAAGTCATCCTTAAGAAAGTTTACCAACACAATATTGACACAACAACAACAAATGCAAAGTAAGAACCAAACTGTTATGATAACACAACATTCTTCACATTCCTTGCTAAGTTAGAGCTGTAATTCACAGAGGCAAAGCAACTCACCCATGCCATGCTCCAAGTCCTGGCCAGAAGGGAAAGGAAGATGCAGATCCTTGTTCCTTGCTGCAAAGCTAAGAGATCAGGTTCTTCTTAAATCCCTCCATTCTTCATTAACATACATAAATATTCTCACTCTATCCTTCCTTTTTCCTGTTTCTTTGTGTATTTGTGTCACAGTTCTGCATATTTCAGTTTCCTCATGGAAGGAATAAAGCACACATAAATACAGCCTTGGAACGTGCCCCATTAAATGCTTTTCAAATGACTTTGTTCTCATTCCCTTTGCATTCGTGGTTACTTTGCATGTTACACAGATTGATTTACAGGTCAAATGAAATGATAACTCTGAGCCTGCATCGCCAGGTCAGGATGGAATTACAGGAAGAAACAAAGCAACATCTCACAGCAGCAACCAACATCTCTGCATCAGCCCTTGGGTCTTGTTAAAGAAGAGGACAGTTTATGCAATATGTGAAGGGAAGGAATACAAATGCATCATAAATAAAAATACTGCATTACATTGTACTGAATAAAGGCACATTTCTATACAATTAGCAGGGATCACAGCTTGGCTTGCTACACACAGGAATCACAGAGACAACAAAAGTGTCAAACAAACCATACAAATGCATCTTTGAAAGAAAGGATAACACCAATTCCAACAGGTTTGTTATTTGCTGGTTTTTACTTTATTTAGAAAAGCCTTGGTACCACATTAGGAGTGGCCACGGTGACAGAGCAGCCCATGTCACTGAAAGGAGATAAACTTGTGGCTTACAAGGTCTGCCTAAGCTAATTATCGAATTCTGGGGAGGGTTTGAGATTCTAACTGATGAACTCTCATGTGGTATCAGTCAGAGGTATCAGACTCCTTATAAATTACTTCTGCTAGCACATTGACTATCTCAAACCTAAATTATCATTATTGTAACAGAGACAGGGAAGAAAAAGAGTATTTTCTGATGCTGGCACATTTCTGGAATTGCATTTTCCCTTCTTCCTCTCTCTTCCTATTACTTATTTATTTATTTAAGCTAATCAGCAAGCAAATATCTCATAAGCATCTGAGATGGTTTCACAAAGGGCCAAAGTTCAATGGAATGAAATACACATCTGATATACATCTGATTTAGATGCAGTAACGTGATTCCATGAAAATTCCAGTGACTTAGTTGTATTAACACATTTGGGTGCCTAAGTTCTTGGAAGTTTATAGTTACAAATCTAGATAAATGCTGACAGTAACAACATATTTATAAGGCACAGAGAAATTCTTACTGAACAGAATTCTGAAGGACACAACACACAGAGCCATCACCTTCCTTTGAGGCAGCATGAACTGCTGGGGGTGACTCAAATCCAGGCATATTTGGATGGAGGAATTTGTCCCTATGCCAAGCTTTCCTTATCCTCAAAGCTGTCCCCTGAGGCTGCTGTGGCTGAACCATGCAGGAAGGAGTTCCTGAAGTGCCAGTCCTTGCTAAGGGTTATGAACACCTGCACCAGTCAAACCTAGCTCAGCAGCTGGAAACTGGAAATGGTGGCAGCACATCAGCTGCTCCACACAGAAAGCACCACTCTCCTGAAGGGGGCTGCACACACAACTGGTTCAGCCATTTGTCTTTAATTCACTGCTCACAAATCAGCAAATTCAGTGAGTCACAGCAATGACATGACTTACAAACTAGCTGGCAGAAAAATATGCATTAGGTCAATCGTAGAACCCCTCATTTATTGTGTCTTGAGTACAGTGGGCTGCATTCCAGCAAGCACAGAGCAGGAAAGCAAATGACACAGAGCTGACAGAGCCCCACTGCAGTCACTGAGTGAGTGTTACTCAGGTCAGCCCACTGAGGCATCTCCTGAAAATGCCCTCCTGGCTGAGCAGGCAGGATGGGAGTTTCCAGGCAGGTAGCAAGGAGATGGAATCTGTGTTTTGAAGGAAGGAGCTGCTCTGGGAGGCGGCAGGGCTTGAGCAGCCTGTGAGCCCACAAGGCTTTGGCTGCACAGGCTGAACACACAAAAGCAGGAAACTTGGGTGGGGTGTGATGGCTCGGTACTGTCATCCCTGACTGTTTTACAGCTTCCGTGCTTACACAGATCCTAATATCAACATTTGCTCCTTACTTTTCATTGCATTTCCTTGAACAGGAGGCTTGGAAGCCCTTGGCTCCCAGCACCAGCAAGGAGAGGGCTCCTGAGCTCCCCACACCTGCTTGGAGTGTGAGCTGATGCTGAGGGGAAGCAGGAAAGGTGCTGTGCTCTGCCCAGAAACAAACAACCAGTGCAAGCCAAGAGAAACAGCTCAGTGATGAGCATTGATGGAGGCTGCCCCAAACTGGGGTTGCACATGCACTGACAATCAGCCAGTGGAGACACTCTGTAAATGCAATTGTTCTGATAGAGTAAAACCTCTGAACACCAAATATTGTACAGGAGGGGAAAGGCTCTAAATGAGAGCTTTGAGCATTGCAGTCCAACACAACAGACTGAAATATTCTGATGCTTATCCACATTTGCAAAATCCAACATGTTCATTATAATCTTACTTTGCAAAGAGCCTCTGATACCATTTAACATCTGCAGAAGTGTGTTTCCTTTTAAGTTCTTTTAAAGTACTTTTATAGGAATATATGACTCTATGCTACAGAACTGTGACATTTCTTAAATCCTCCAAGAAACAAATAAACTCTTTTTGGCAATGAAGAAAGCTCATCCTTTCTACCTGGATTTACTGTTTTAACATTTCTGTTAATAGAAATCCTCATTTGATCAGTGATCATCATCTATACTCCAAAGAGAAATGTAACCAATCCTATTAATTTACAATTAACATTTTTCATATCAAATCATCTCAGCAGTTACACACATCCACAAATAAAATCACAGAGTGATGCACAGCACAAAGCACCAGTTCAACTGCAGCATTCTAGGAAAGGCTGGCACTAACATGGAAGGCAGGAGTCACCTGCTTCAGAGCATAAAACATTAAATAGATACATTTATGATAGAAGAATTTTTAATTCTTTATAGAGACAAAAGAGATAAAGGGACAGAAAAGACACAATTTCCCATATCACAGCATATCCAGTGGCACGAAAGAGAAACAAATGGCTCCTGAATAAATGCAGATCAAGTATCTTAATCCTGAAGTATGACTCCATTTTTATTATATTATCTATATGAAACACCTGAGATGAATTTCTAACACTCTAAAAGACAACAGTGAAGATCTACAAAATACTAGTGAGCTGTCATTACAGAAATCAGTAAAAAACAAACATATTTCACAAATCAACTGATACTGGCAAACATATTTTGAATCTTTCTAGACAGGAAATATATAAGAACAGAATTGCTCAAAAGATAGGCAGTGTCTGGTTATAAAAACACAACCAGGCTACATCAGCAACAGGGTATTACTTTCTTGCATGTCTCATCCAGCTCTAAATTCTTCTTTACTGTCAACACAAAAAGTAAAGAGTCAAAATAATTATTAGCAAAACTTATCTGTATAAAAACATGAATTCTAAGCTTTGTTTTCTGCACTAATGTTATTTCTTGGACTTTCTATGCAAAACTGGCATAAAGAATTATCTTCCTAACATCACAGCCATCTGTTAGGGATAATAAGCATCAGTAAAGAATTTTCAAACAACAGACAAAAATGGCAATTTAGACATACCAGCAACTAATTGAAGAAATTATCAATACAATGCAGTAAAAGAGAAACAAAAGTTGTGATCCTGTATCACCATTGATACATACTCTTTAAAAATTTCTATTAGCTATACTGAAAACTATCCTCTACTTGTATTTAAACTTTGTAGAGTTCAGGGCTTGATTTATTTTGAATCCTGCAAAATCTGCCAGTGGAGTGAGTGCAGCATTTATCTGCAACTTGTCTTGCCAGCAGTTGTGACAACAAAGAAAAAAATCATCTTTCTGCTTGCAGCTGGAAGATGTGAGCACACTTTGAAAAGAAGCAGGTGAATGGTATCATTCCAAACCTCTTCAGCATCTTTTCTTCATCTAAAATTTATTCCTACAAGTGAAGCACATGAATACTTTTAAAAATACAACTCAAGATGTATAAAATGAACGGGCTCCAGGTCACCATTGACAAAACAGTAATGGAAAACCAATACAACTTAAACTGAAAGTAATAAAGTTTCCTTTCTTACATGCTGAATGGGGCTACAGTGCTATGCCCTTTCTGGAGGATTTCAACAGGAATGCTTTCCTACACTTCACCAGCAATAGTTTTCCTTGGAATGTTGAGATACAGAGACAATTGTGGAACACCAGCCTTGTCTCTGCATACCTGTAACAACTTCCTTGCTCCTGTAGGATGGTTTTTCATCTGCTCCCTCTGCAAGCATCTCTGGGGAGGGATCAGCCCTTAAATGCTGAATTCTGCAGCCTCAGACACACTCTGACACTCACACACACCCACTCTTGCACACTAGGTTCCACTCTCCATGAACCAGGCATTCTTAGCCAGCAGGTCAGACTGGATTTTTTTTTATTCCTATTTAAATGACTGGGAAAAATGTTTTTCAACCAAAATACAAACTACAGCTATAGAAACAAGGATTTAAAAAACCCAGTCTTGCTCTGTATCTGCCTTACCCAAGCCCCTGATGAATATCTTGGCAGGCCAACGTTCTCTAGTGCAACCCTGCAGTTGTCTGTGTCCATTGTTTCCCCTCCAACAGCTCTGTGACAAATGCTTCTGTCTGTTTAACCCTGAGAAAGTGCTTCCCCCCAGCAATTTCTCTTTTCCTGTGGTTTTTACTTTGCCAATTGAAAGCAGCAGGTTGGCTGTGGGAGAGGTTCAGTTTGCCCAGCAGCCTCTCCCACCACTCTGCAGTGACAGTCCCATGTTTGCTGAGGATGTCTTGGTGTTAGTGGGGACATTTTCCAGTCAGCCTTGCTCATTTAACAGATCAATCATGCAGCCCACACAGCAATTGTTATCTCAGCCATCACACCTGGCTCTAACCCTCTAATGTGCTCAACTGCTTGCTAGACCATGAATAACTACAAATAACTACAAATACCCATCTGCCTTGCTCTTCTCACCCCCAACAGTTCTCTTTCAACTCTTCTTTATTTGGGGTTTTACTGTGGACTATCTCAGCTAAGAACTAAAATAACTACAAATGTTTCCCATTTTGAAAAAAGTCACTGCTAGAAATGAATAAATTGAATAAAATACTACCCTCCTACTGAAATACACAAACCATACATAAACTATGATGTAAATGTGGTGAGTGTTTACCTGAACACTTTTTTTGGATGCCAGAGTTGTCTTTTTGGTTTGTGTTCCATTTTTCAAGCAATAATCTGTTTGAAAGAAAAACAAACCCCAAAGAATTCCATCAGTTTTTCACAGAGGCACAGAACACCTTGGAGTCTCTGCTTAGCCCTGTCCTTGGGTGACTTTTCAGGTATAATGCATTTGAAAGCTCTTTGCAGGAACTTTTGCCTACGATTCCCATTGAACTGGTGCTTTCTGGTTCTGGCTTAGCAGTTGGGAAGAAACATAAAGATCAATACAATTTAATTGTCCTTCACTCCTACTCCAGACAGTTCTCCAGGTCAATTTTTTTATAAAACAGACACTGGGAGTCAGATATTCTTGTCTTCATCCCACTAAATAATAAATAAAAAGATTCTTGATAAATACTCACCTCCAAGATTTTGCCTGCTTTAAGAAACTTCTAGCTTTTGCTACTTCTTGAGTAAGGTTCTTTAGATCATCTCCTTCAAAGTAAGGGAAAACTGGATTCTGAAAACACAATTAAAATGTTTTAACTTGCACCTATTTATTATTTTCTGTTTCCCCACCTGAATTAACTGATCCTAAGCTCTAAATTTCCCTACTTGCAGAGGTGGTCTTGGTCTTACACGGGGAGAGCAGAGCCAGCCTAGACTGAACCTGGCTCTGTTCAGTAAAATTTTCTGCTGTGACAATGCCTGAGGTCTCATGCTGGAGAATTAATGTGCTGAGCACTGTATAAGGATTTTACAGTTAAATGAAACACAAGATAGGAAGGGTAAGAAGACAGTAAAAGCTGAAGTTAGCTTAAAAACCACATGCAGACACACAGTATATTTTTTACTTCTCTTTCAAAACCTATATTGCACTTTGTATTCCTTTCATGGGCTTGGGCACCTCACAAGGCAGCAGAAAGGCAAAAACAGATACTAAGATTTCTCTTTTTACTTTTAATATGAAATAACTTAAAAGTTTTGTATTATTTTTTCCTCATTATTTTTCTTTTTTAAATGAAGTTTCTCTACTGCTGAAGAACTAAGTTGCAATGAAACAAAACAAACTGATTTATTGAACATACATCTTCATCCTCCAGCCCCTCTGTCAATATTCTGTGTGCTGCTAATTGTCCATCTTCACCTCCAGAGCTGCAGTGGAAGCGCCCTCCTGTTTGGGAAGCAAGCTTCTTCAGGAATTCAACAGCTCCTCTGGCAGCACAAAGTAGAAAACTACTTAGGAAAATTATTTTCTGAAAGCAACAGCAAAAGAATTTCTAAGAGCTCCTCAAAAATATGACATCAAAACAAACAGATTGGAGGCCATGGTTATAAATTCCTGTAGGAAATGCAGGCCATGGGGCAGAACCTGTGCCAGAACAACCTTCCCCATAGCACAGACTTCTGACAATAAATAAAGCAGTCATTTAAAGAGATTTTTGTTTTGTTCTTGCAAAGTACCATATACCTGTCTGCACAGTTAAAACAAATGGTGTGGATTTTAATATCTTGTTTCTTTATCAATCTTTCAATTTCTTTCAAAATCAGACTGCAACTGGTGTCTGGTTTTCCATCAGTCAATAGATACAGTCCCTCTACACCTTGGAAACTGAGAGCCTTCTGAAAAGCAGAAAATAAGCTTAAATAATTGGTACATTTATATGAAATGTTATACTTCAGAACAAAACCACCATTCCAATGATGTAAGATCGTTTATGTTTACCAATATATTTATATTTGATCACTAACCAACTTAATTTTGTCTTTTCATTTTCGCTTATTAGGGAAGGGGATCAAGGATATAAATTTGAAAATTTAAGTTGATAATTTGTGGCATAAGACAACATATTTATAAGCAGGGCATGGCCAAAAATTGACTCATTGAAATAAGAAAGTTAACTGGTTTTGGACAACTACAGACAAAAGATTTTTACATCATATTTTACGGGAGTTAAAGTTGTTTAATGTCTGAAAAGCAGGCTCACTAAGACTTGAATGAATATTAGGAAAATTTGCTACACTTGCAGCTCTACTGGACTTCATTCATGATGAATGCCCTAACATTTATTTAGAGATTCTGCAAGGTTGTCTGGAAGAAGAATCATTCATTAAAGGCAGCATTTCCTTCTGGATTCCATTTTTAAATCTCATAAAACTGAAAGTTCAGTTTTAAGTTATCATTACTAGTTGATTTCTACACTGAGAATTTTTATAGAAGAGAAGTTTCTTCACCTGTTACTGAAGTTCAAGAATTGTACTCAAAACCCATGAGATCCCAACAAACACTGCTTATTTAAAACCCTGTTTGGGTCAGAGCAACATAGCACAGCCACAGCTGCACATAAACAGCACTTTGAGCAACTGGCTATTTCCCCTCTCCAGTATTCTTTGAACACAAATATTAAAAATACTATTGATACTGATATTTGACTTTTTTTTAAAACTTAGTATGAGCAATTACTTTGAGTATCTATAAGCCCTGGGGCCAGAAACAGTGACTTGATTTCTGAGGTGTTCAGTGATTTGCATATACAGATGTAGCACACTTTGACATCATCATTGCCCCAGGATGTCACCAGTGAGGCTGGAAGTGTTTCACCCCCAGACAGGCTGTGCTGCCCAGGCTGTGGCACAAACCTGCAGAGCTGCAAGGATGCAGGAGCTGCCATGGGCATGGCAGGTGGCAGCCCATTGCACAGCGTCATGGCAGCTCTCGTCAGTTGCCTCTACAAGATGCTCTTTCCAACTCTCTGTATTTTCTGCAAATCTCAG